TTGACGTCATATATCTTTTGTCAAATTAAAAGCGATTCAGGGAATATAAAGCTGTGTATGTATGTTTTTTTTTTTTTTTAAGCTTTCGCGTTGGTCATCGTAGCGGCCAAATCGTGAAATGAATTCGGACATAAATTCGTGGTGGAGAATAAACTTATAAGTATGGACGACTGTTGTGGACAAGTTCCCTGGACGTAAATAATGGCTAAGGATGAGATACCTGACGGACTATAATCGATAGGAAACTGAGAACATATGAAATGTATTTACTGTACCGCAGAACTACTGTACATTCATATATGACAAAACTTACGAAGGTATAAAAATTTGGAGGTGGTTTTAATAGAAGTGTGGACATTTTTGTATGGCCTTGGTGTATTTGTGAACAGCGAGGCATTCATCCCCCGTTTTTTACTCTTCCTCGGAATTATCTCGACACTTTAAAGTTTAAACCAACATTAAGGCGCCTACATAAAACCAGTTAAGATTGTACAAAATATTATTTATTTTCAGAAGAATTTTATAACGTTTCGGCGAGAGTGAGTCTACAACAGTGGGCGGTGCGGAACGGTGTCAGTTTCAAGTGGTCTTTATTGCTGTTGATTTTGTGGGCGGGGCTGTGTGAACTCACGCTACAGGTCATAACTAAACAACCAACAGATGACGATACATGAAGCTTGACCTCATTTCCCGTAAACCATAAAATAATATTAATCGACTCTCTTTACTCAGCCACAACCATTGGTGTGTAGTAGTAGTAGAGTGTTGAGCGGTGGGCGTATTGGTGGTCAGGAGGCAGACCAGTTATAACCTGCCAACCAAGACCTGGGGATTGTGTCCCCCTTCACACACACACACACACACACACACACACTAGGGGTGAGTGATGCTATGTGAATTATCGGGAAATCCCTTTTGTCTCGTCCTTGTGTTACCAAATACTCGTAATATAATTCACCAGAACACCTCGCTCATCTGCTCACACCACAAGCCTATCCTGGATCATTTGGGGTAGGTCATGTGTCGGGCGTTATGGTGGAGGGCGGATGCCACCACCCTCTTAGCCGTTAGGTCACTGACCTACATCGATTCTTTCTCCTGGTCGACCCACTCTGACCCTCCCCACTCTCCACGGCCCATCACCCCCCTCTCCACTGACCTTCACCACCCTCTCCACGGACCGTCACTCCCCTCTCCGCGGACCTTCACCCCCCTTCTCCACGGACCCTCACGCCCCTCTCCACAGATCCCCACCCCCTCTCAACTGACCCTCACGCCCCTCTCCACCCCCCACCCCTGTCTTCACGAGGCCCCACCCCGTCTCCTGCACATACACACACACACACACACACACACACACACACACACACACACACACACACACACACACACACTGATGGCATGTGCACCTCTTTGTCTGCCTCGTCCTCTTCACTGCCTACCTGAAGGGGCAATATTGATTAGAGCCTGCCTGTTCCTCCCTCCCCTGCCTCAGTACATATTGTAGGTCCGTTTTTTAACTGACCCTCCCTCCCACCCACCTTCAGGTCAAAGATTCTTACGTGCTCTCGCTCCCTCACTTTACAGGTCCATGCATCCCTCTTCCCTCAACACTTACATTTGTTCCTCACAACCCCCCACACAGACTCTTAATGTCTCCTCTCCGATGGTTCTCGTCACTTTCATGTTTCTGCTCTTTGGACGCTTTTGTTCTTTTAAGTCGTCACCGTCCCAGACCTGCAGTATAAGGCTGGGTTGGATGTTTAAGTGAAATTTACTTCAAATCTACTTTTGGGCTTCAGCAGAGACCCATCCACCTCTGCTGCCAACCTTTAATAAACTGTTTACCTTGGTATGGAACTCTTGATCCCCTCTTTTATTCCTGTAAATAAACCTCTGGTTCAACTTTTCCTGTCGGAGGACAGGTGAACTCATTAAGCCTCCGGCAGTTACAAGAAACACGTAAATCTAAAATTTGTAACTTTAATCACAGTATTTTGCTGCAGAGAACCATGCTAGACACCATATAAAAAATAAGAAAATCATCTCAAAGCAATTATATTCTTTGAACCAAAACACGACCCTTTCACTCTGAGTCTTCACTGTTGATCATTGTTTGTGGTCACCAGCCAAGATCTTTTATAACACCCGAGATCTACCCGTCATCCCTCCTAACCCCATAATTTCCCCTGACAGACAGTGTGGATACAGCACACATTCTTCCTCCCTCTGTACTTGGTTCATTGTATGCTCCTCCCTCCCTCCCCCCTTGCCTGTCAGAATTCAAATAAAGTTGACCGGGAAGTTTTATCAGAGGCGGGGTTCGACCCTGCGTGCACGAACCCTGGGGTTCGGACGCAGAACTTGCAAGGTCAACCAGCGCACCTGCCGTTTGTCTCGATAACTAAATGGAACAACGTCCCCACCTGCTGGTCAACAAGTGGAATAAAAAAAGGAGGTTAAATCTCTGAACGGGACCTGGCTGTTTTGATCAGGAGTCGGCTACCAGCAACAGGGGGGGACTTGGCGGCTGGTATTCCTTCCACACTGTTTAGGTCCCTGGGTACTTGTTCACCCTCCCACACTTAGCTCCCCACCTGCCCTGCCCTACCCTTCCCTATTACAGTCCGTATGTGGCTCCATCATAAAGCTTATTAGCGCATTATCAGGTGCAACCACACACACATTTCCTAGGTTTCTTTATGAACATTAGTATACCACCTTTTTATATTTGTGTGTGTGTTGTTGTTTACGCACATACAGAGAAAAATCATTTACTTTTAATAACCACTTGTCCTAAAGTTACGACAATTACGCTCTGTAATTATCGCAACAAGATGTACTCTACTCTTCCCAGTTCGGGGGGAAATTGGAGTGAGAATCCTAACACAGCACAACACACCACAGTCCCCATACCAAGGCGGTCGAGTAGCAGCCTGTCAGACCAGTCACACTTGGAGAATTAGATAGAGAAAAGTAGAACAGACTTTGGCATGCAAGGTGTAAGGTCCCCGAGGCGCCACACAGTCTCCCGTAAGCCACCAGACCCTGACCCTCGTCTCTGGGGTTGGATCGTAGTTTTCAAAAACTCGTTATGATAATTTTCTCTACTGTCTGGGGGTTAGAGAATATAATATCTATTGACAGTAAATCCTTGGGTGTAGTACCACGTAATTTCAAATGTGTCTTAGCTAACGTGAGCCATTTATATGCAGTCTCACGGAATGTTAATATACGAGTGTTCGTGGTGACGGTCCAAATAGTGATGACAATGATGGTGGTGTCAGGGTTGTGATGTATAATGGTTGCATCATTGACCAAATAACCAAGCTGTTCTAGATTCCAATGTCCCCTGTAGTAACAGCTATCCGGTTTAGTAGTTCATCATGTGACCATACGTATATTATTAGTATAGTATTGTTGCTCTATTTTATGAGAAGGAAACCGAATCTAATATTACGTCTTGATGGAGCAGTGGGTCAATTTTCTTCTCTGAGGTGTGGTAAGACGGTAGAAAACAACTTGCTGACCTAGGCGCCACGTACCCGATGGTGGTGGTGGTTATAGTATCCTGGTGGCGATGGTGGCAGTGGTGGTAGGGGTTATAGTATCCTGCTGGTGATGGTGGCAGTGGTGGTAGGGGTTATAGTATCCTGCTGGTGATGGTGGCAGTGGTGGTAGGGGTTATAGTATCCTGCTGGTGAGGCAGTCTGCTGTGATGGTGGCAGTGTGGTAGGGGTATAGTATCCTGCTGGTATGGTGGCGTGGTGGTATATATCCTGCTGGTAGGTGGTGGTGGTAGGGGTTATAGTATCCTGCTGGTGATGGTGGCAGTGGTGGTAGGGGTTACAGTATCCTGCTGGTGATGGTGGCAGTGGTGGTAGGGGTTATAGTATCCTGCTGGTAATGGTGGCAGTGGTGGTAGGGGTTATAGTATCCTGCTGGTGATGGTGGCAGTGGTGGTAGGGGTTATAGTATCCTGCTGGTGATGGTGGCAGTGGTGGTAGGGGTTATAGTATCCTGCTGTGGTGGTGGTAGGGTTATAGTATCCTGCTGGTGATGGTGGCAGGGTGTAGGAGTATCCTGCTGGTGATGGTGGCAGGGTAGGAGTATCCTGCTGGTGATGGTGGCAGGTGGTGGTAGGGTTATAGTATCCTGCTGGTATGTGGCAGGGTGGTGGTAGGGGTTATAGTATCCTGCTGTTGGTGATGGCAGTGGTGGTAGGGGTTATAGTATCCTGCTGGTGATGGTGGCAGTGGTGGTAGGGGTTATAGTATCCTGCTGGTGATGGTGGCAGTGGTGGTAGGGGTTATAGTATCCTGCTGGTGATGGTGGCAGTATATGATGTTAGCCGCTTGGTGCTGGTGGTGGTGGAAGCGGCAGTTTTGGTGATGGTAGCTGGTGGTTTGGCCATTGGTTATGGTAATGTTATCGATGTTGAAGGACGTTTATAAATGGTTATGGTAGTGGAGTGGTGTTGGTGGTATGGGATGGGTATTGGTGGCGGCGACAGCGACCAGGTGTATCATAACCATGATCAAGTTTTTGTGTAAGGGGTGAGCCGGACCGGGTACATGACGGTGGCACCAAGGTTACTCTCTCTCTCTCTCTCTCTCTCTCTCTCTCTCTCTCTCTCTCTCTCTCTCTCTCTCGTGTTTGAACTCCTTGATGCTCTTCACCTCAGAGTTTCTCTCACCGACGGTAGTAATAAAAATTTATCTCACCGTGTAAAGACAGTAGTGTGAAAAGACAGGTAATGTTGGAGCGATGGCCGGCGCGGGCAGGTGGTATATACAGTGTCCGCCCCTCCATCAGCGCTCGTTGGAATCCTGTGTAAGCGGCTTCATGCCCCCCCAGTCATGTTTCTTTACCTTTAAAGGGCACCAGCCAAAGAAGCGGCCTGGCAACTTGTTCACTGTAATTTTCCTGTCTAGCAGATTTATGACCGGATGTCATAATTAACATTGGACTTCAATTTACCTGTATAAAGTGTAGTTACCATGGAGGAAAGGGACCCGGAGCCAGGGAGTCCCGTACAGCCAGGGGAGAGGGGCACTTGTGGTTGTATGAGAGATTTTATGCTTGGTGTTAGAGCACAGAGGAGAACCAGCAGTGTTCTTCTTGTGCTGCTTTCTACCTTATGTCAGTTAGTGTAGGACTTGAGTAACAAATTCGCCCACGTTGCCAGAAGACTTTACTGTCCTGTCCTGAATGTGTGTGTCGGCCGTTGACTAGTGTGCAGCGGGTCAGGGGAGCCAAACTTAAGTGATGTGTAGGAGGGTGTCGGTGATGTGAGTAAGGGGTAGGAGGATGCGACACCACCCGTGACTGATGGTGGGCGTGATGGTGGATGGAGGAGGAGGAGGAGGTGCGCCATGACCCACATGGTGAACCCCTCTGGCCTGGCCTCCAGTTGTGGTGTTTTGACCTGCAGCTAACACACACACACACACACACACGCACATCGTTTTCATGTGTAGAGTAGTATGTAGTATATTTTAGGGTGACATCTAATTGTGTTCCCACAGCAGTACACGAATGGTCATGGTAAATTCATTTCATCTTTCTTTCAGTCTCTGTCGCTGGCGAAGAAAAAAATCGTGCACTACACGACGCTGGACCCACAGAAGAGAGCCAACGCCGCCTTCCTCATCGCTTCTTATTCTGTGAGTATCTCTTGTTGGTTAGTCACTATTGTCACAAGCTGCTGTTTGTGTAGTCATTTTACATAAGGAAGATTTGGTGTGCGTTGCCTCTCATAATGTTGGAGTGATTACCATACTCTCTCTCTCTCTCTCTCTCTCTCTCTCTCTCTCAATAGAGTTAATAGAGTCAATCACCCAACTACTTACGGTAATCTTGGCATAATATCTACTTAAATCACCCTTGAGGCCGCCATCCTGTAACATAATCAAAGTGTTGCCAGTTTGATATAGTTCGTCACACCTCCTGATAAGGGGAAGATTTATTATACGAATCCGTGTAAAAAATACTTGACCCTGTAAAACACACACACTACTACTACTTTGCTGTCACTCAGAATCGAGTATGACAATCATCCAGCTGTGATGCAATGATATGAGTTATTAGGGATGTCACATTCATTGGTGAGTTTGGAGGTGACTAAAGAAGCCGATACGGGACCGGCAGAGTCGCTCACAGATGTTGCACTTGTGGAGGTCTACATCGAGTGTGGGAGGGGCGGCGGTAGAGTCTTTCCGGCGTTGGCGCTTCTCTGCCTCAGTTTGCAGTTGGGCTAAATCAAAAATATTGGCAGCTTGTGTGGTGCTCCTTCAAGTGTTACGATGTGGAGTTATTGTCTCCCAGGTGAGGGGGTCGATTTGGCACTTTTTCAGGTTTGTCTTAAGACTATCTTTATACCTTTTCAGCTGCCCACCAGCGTTACGTTTACAATTTGTTAGGTGACTGTAAAGTAGTTGCTTTGGCAGTTTACTGTCGTCCATGCGGGTAACATCGTCAGTCCAGCTTGGTTGTTCATGGATAATGGTAGCCTCGATGTTCCTACAGTTTGTATCAGCAAAAATACTGGCATTTTTTCTCTTGTCTTCCCAGCTAACTCGGAGGATGGAACGTAGACTAAGGTGGTGAAAGTTTTCAAGTGCCTTGAGGTGCCTCCTGTATGTGACCCATGTCTCGCTGCCATATAGCAGGATGGGGAGGGTCATTCCTTGATATACATGTAACTTTGTAGATAATTTCAGTTCCCTACAGCTGAAGACATGGTTTTGGAGTCTGCCAAAGGCTTGAGATTCACATCTGATCCGATGCTGAATCTCTTCTTCGATGTCCGTGGTGGTGGACAGGTGAGATCCGAGATACCGAAAGTGGGTAACATTAGAGAGGGTAGTACCATTAAGATGGATGGATGGTGGAGGTGTGTCTGAACCAGGGTCAGGTTGAAAGAGAATCTGAATCTTTCGTACATTCATCTCAAGGCCGAAGTGTGCATATGCATCTGCGTAGGTGTTCAGGTTCTCCTGTAGGTCGTGTTCGGTGTGACCAACAAGGGTGAGGTCGTCTGCTTACTGAAGTTCAGTAATGGAAGCTGCCGACACATTTGTTCTTGCCTTGAGTCGTCTTATGTTGAAAAGACCCTTCATTCGGTACCCTATGTCCACCCCGCCGGCAAAATTTGCGCTGGCACAAGTAAGGAAGGCAGCCAAGAAAATAGAAAAGAGAGTTGGTGCCAGTACACACGCTTGTTTAACCTCCGTTTGGATGGGGAACAACTCAGACTGGGTGCCATTGTGCAGGACACTGCCGTTCATACCATCCTGGAGTTGCCTCACAGTGGCGATGGATTTTGGGGGGCAGCCAAACGGCTGAGGGTCCACCAGAGGGCTTCCTTGTTGACCAAGTCTAAGGCCTTGGTTAGGTCAATGAAAACCATGCACAGGTCATGACGCTGTTCTCTGCACTTTTATTTATCTGGCGGGCAGCACAGATCATGTCAGTGATGCCACGTGGTGGTCTAAAGTCTTATTGAGATTCTGAGAGGAAGTTTTCCGCTTCAAGAAGAAATTTGTTAAGGAAGTCTCGGGCGATAATCTTGCCAGCTATGGACAGCAGTGAGATCCCGCGGTAGTTGCCAGTCTGACCGGTCCCCCTTGTTCTTATAAGATCTTGGGGGATTTCCTCCTTTTCTCATATATTCTCCAGGAGAGAGTGGAGACGGCTGGTAAACAGAGGTCCCCCTGCTTTATACACCTCGGCTGGGATTCCATCAGGTCCTGAAGCTTTTTATTTTTCATTTGTTTGATGGCAGTGGCTATCTCATCGAGGGATGGAGGAGTGTTTCGGTTGAGCAGTGAATGGTAGTGATCTTTCCAACGCTGAAGGAGGCCTTTATCGTCTTTAATTGTGGAGTTACCATCGGATGAACTGAGAGGGGCTGCGCTACGAGTGATTGGCCTATAAAATGCTTTGCTGGAATTAAAAAATTCACGCATCTTGTGCTTATCTGCAAATTTTTGTGTTTCACATGCTTTATTTTTAAACCAGTCGTTCTTTAGATTGCGAAGTTCCCTCTGGGCTGCAGCTTTCTTCCTGCGGAAGGTATCAGCTTTGGTCCGAGACTGAGGGTTGTTATGCCACTCAGTTAAAGCAGCACGTTTGTCGTCAACAAGTACATTGACTGCTGGGTTGGGTTAGGTTAGGTTAGGTCTCTCTGCAGGTTTTTGTCATGACAGTGTTGAGAATATCCCATTTGGCACTGGGATTTGGGATGTTTGTTGTTGGGTTCTTTATCAGCCCACATTCGAGCTGCTCTCTGAAAGCATGTGCTAATGCTGGATCCTCCAGATGCTTAGTGTTAAAACCTCTTCTGGAGGCTTGCTGCTTCGCCATTTTGGGGCGACATGAAGTGAAAGCTTGGCTCTGAAGAGCCAATGATCAGTGTCGTAGTGGTCTGAGCCACGCATGGCGCGGATGATGAGGACATCTCGGCGATCTCTTTCTCTAACAGTGATGTAGTCAATGAGATGCCAGTGTTTGGATCGTGGGTGTTGTCACGAACCCTTGAACTTGTTGGCCTGCCTAAAAAAGGTGTTGGTGATTGTGAGGTTGTGTGCAGCACACTTGCTGAAGAGGATTAGGCCATTGGGATTACACTTGCTTAGTCCATTTCTCCCTATGGTTCCCTGCCAAATGTCAGCATCTCTGCCAACTCTGGCATTGAAGTACCAAGGAGCACATCCTTATCTTCTCTGGGGATAGAGGTTAGCACTCAGTCAAGTTCGGCATAAAAGGCCTCCTTGATGTCATCCTCTGCATCCAGTGTTGGGACGTATGCACTGATGAAAAAATCATCACGTGAGTGATTCAGTGGGACTCAGAGCGTCATCAGGCACTCGTTGATCCCAATAGGCATTTCAGTTAGCCTTTGTAGGATGCGTTGGTGGATGGCAAAACCAACTCCATAAATGCAGTTTCTCTCTGCAGCAGGCTTACCTTTCCAGAAGAAGGTATAACCAGACCCCAGTTCTGTGAGTTGACCCTCGACTGGGAGCCGGGACTCACTAATGGCTGCTATGTCGGTGTTATACCTTGTCAGCTCTTTTGCCACAAGGGCAATTGACGCTCATTTGTGCCAGTATCCAGAAGGGTCCTGACATTCCATGCAGAGATCATAAGAGGTTGTATAGTTTGTTTTACACACACACACACACACACACACACACACTACGCCCCGCATAAAAAGACTTATTGAGCAGCGCAACAAGGCATACTACACCAACAACCGCCTGTACAAAAGTCTACGTAACCAGGTCATCGGGGAAATCAAGTCTGCCAAGAAGACTTATTATCCCAGGAAAGTGCACGGCCTCAAGGAAGTCGGCATCTGTCAGTGGTACTCCAAGGTAAAAGATCTCTGTGGTCTCAGCCGTCAGTCTCCCACACTTCCTTTCATCTCACATTTACCTAGTGAGGAGGCAGCTGAGATAATTAATAACCATTTTGCTACCATATGTCATACCTTACCCAGACTTGACCTCACTCTCCTCCCAGCTTACTTACCTTCCCCCTCCCCCCCTCCCAGTGTTCAACCATATGAAATCGCCAACAAACTCCTGAAATTTAAATCCAAATGCTCCACGGCCCCAATTGACCTCCCAATCAAAATATACAAGGAGTTTGCAGTCGAACTTGCCACCCCCCTCTGTTCTATTATTAATGCATCCCTCAGACAAAGCAAATGCCCTAATGAATGGAAAACCGCATTTGTCACCCCCATCCCCAAGGTCACCACCCCACAGTCCCCTAACGACCTCAGGCCAGTTGCCATTACCCCCATACCCAGTCTACTTTGTGAGGACTTTGTTTTTGAGTGGGCATTTGCCAGTATCTATCAGTCAATTGATCCACAGCAATTTGGCAATATGAGGACCTCCTCTACATCACACTGCTTGGTGAGCTTTCTGGATTTTCTGCACAAAAACTTGCAGAAACGTAAGACATCACTGGCCGTTGCCCTTGTGGACTTCAGGAAGGCCTTTGACCTTGTTGATCACTGCACTGTTATCAACATGGCTATTGCACTAGGGCTGCTCACCAACCTGGTCTCATGGCTCACTGATTTCTTGAGTGGACGTCGCCAGGCAGTGAGGTATCAGGGCTTGGTCTCCACATCCCAACACCTCACCTGCGGTGTTCCCCAGGGGACCAAGATGGGACCACTGTGCTTCCTCATCCTGATCAACGACGCTCTATCGGACACTCCTCACAGGTGGAAGTACGTGGATGACTGCACTGTGGGGGCTTCAGTGGACAACATCGCACCAGATTACTCATCGCTACAAGGCACCCAGGACAGGCTACAGTCATGGGCTACGGAGAACAAGGTCACCATCAACCACACCAAAACCGTAGTCATGCACATCAATACCGCCACCACTCCAGTGCAAGCCTCAGCAGTCACAGTGGGTGCCCATCCTCTCCAGCTGGTGCAGTCTGTCAAACTCCTGTGTGTAACTATAGACAACAAACTTGACTGGAAGGCCCATGTAAATAACACAGTCAAGGCAGCCTCGTACCATCTCTACATGCTACGACGACTTAGGTCACTTGGGACACCCACGCCAGAGCTGAGGACCATCTACAACATCTTTATTCTCCCCAAACTAACGTATGCGCCACCAGCCTGGTC